AGATGAACCATGAGAGACTATGGACTCTGAGAAACAAACTGAGAGTTCTAGAGGGGAGGGGTTGGGGGGATGGGTTAGCCCGGTGATGGGTATTAAAGAGGGCACGTACTGCACGGAGCACTGTGTTATACTCAAAGAATGAATCATGGAACACTACATCAAAAACTAATGATGTAATGTGTGGTGATTAACATAACATTAAAAAAAGAAAATAACTTCTCCATTCTACCTTAGTGCCCCTACTCACCAAGCCTAAGCAATAAGTGCCAGGTTAAAGGTGCATTATGTAACTTTTTTTCTGTTTAATGCTTACAAGTGATTGGAATAAATGCATAAAATAAGTTTCCCATAGGGAAGAACAGTCTGTCCTAATATTATTGGTAAGAAAAACTGAAAATAAAGTGTTACTGATTTGAAAAGAAAAGAAGCAAACTGGAGATGCTATATTAACATCACCTAAAGTGGACTTCATGTGAAAAAGAAAGAATATTACCAGAGATATAAGGGAAGTTTCTTAATGATAAAATTGTCAATTCATCAAGAAGAAAAACCCAAGAATGTTTGCCTCTCAGAAAGGTACTTCAAAGAACATGGTGAAAAAAGTTGACAGTACTAAATCCCTAATCCATAGTTGGGGATTTTTATAAGAATATCATTTTGATTATTACTATCACAGAAATTAACTTAATTTACATTTATGAAATACCTCACACACCAAATGAAAAAACAAAAACAAAACCACACACACACACATTCTTTTCAGATACACAAGGACTATTCACCATGATAGATTATATGCTGGACAATAAAAAATATATCTCAATACATTTTACATGATTAAAATCATACAGTACATTCTCAGGAAAAATGAATTAAGCTAGAAATTGGTAACAAAAAGATATCAGAAAAATTTCCAAGTGATTGAAAATTAAGTAGAGTACTTCTAAATAACCATAGGTCAAAGGAGAAAGCATACAAAAAATTAGTCAATATTTCAACCTGAATTAAACAATAAAACCCCCAAATTTATGAGGAAATGTTAAAACAGTTTTAGAGGAAAATTTATACTTAGATTTAATACTTAAAAAATAAAACAATTTGAAAACAATTTAAAAGGCTCTACCCTAAGAAACTAGAAAATGAAGAGCAAAATAAACTCAGAGTAGGTATAGGAAAGAATATAATAAAAAGAAGAATGGGAGTAAATGAACTAAGAAATAACAAACAAGAAGGGAAATTAACACAGCCAAGAGAAGCTTTTTTGGGGGAAAAAACGGAACTTGAAAAATCCCAAGAAAGACTCATCAAAAAAAAAATTACTAAAATTATGAAGGAGAGGTTATGGCTATTATATCTATAAATATTACAATTTTAAAAGAAAATATGAACATCTTCACACCTCCCCAAAATTCAGCAATTTAGATATAATTGATACTCTTCTTTAAAGAGCACAACTTATTAAAATGAATTTAAAAAATAGAAAACCTATATATATCTCTCTCTCTATGAAAAATTGAATTATTGTCAGTCTTTCAAAGAAAACTAGGCACTAATTAATTCACTGCTATATGCTACCAAACATTTAAGAAAGAAATCACACCAATCTTACAAAACTTTTTTCAGAAAATAGAAAAATATATCATTTTCCAAATTATTTCCTGAGACCAATATAAAGTAGTAACAAAACATGAAAGAAATATTACAACAAAAGAAAACTACAAAGCAATACCATACATGAACGTAACAAAAATTCATCAATAGGACATTAGAAATAAAACCTAATGGGGCGCCTAGATGGCTCAGTCAGTTAAGCATCCTACTCTTGATTTTGGCTCGGGTCATGATCTCAGGGTCATGGGAACCCTGTGACCAGTTCCACAATGGGCGTGAAGCCTGCTTGGGATTCTGTATCTCCCTCTCCCTCTGCCCCTCCCCCACCCCCACTCGCTCTCTCTCTCTGTGTTTAAATAAATAAATAAAAATAAATAAAACCTAGCAATATCTAAATGACAAGATATTATGACCAAATTGAGTTCATCCCAGGAATGCATGATTGTTTCAACAATCAAATGTGAAACTGTTATTCACTATAATAACAGTACAAGTAAGAAATATGTAGTTATAATAAATGAAATAAATGACAAAAATTAACATTCATGTGTAAAAACTCCCAGCAAAAGTAGGAAAAGAAGATACTTTCTTAGTCTGGTAAAGGGACCTTATAATTATCAGAATACTTAATGGTGAAATATTAAATGATTTCTCCCTGAGATTGAGGAAAGGTAAGGGTGTCCATACTTCACACTCCTATTCAGCACGTACTAATGAACCTAGTCAAATGAAACAAGTTAGTGAAATAAGGCAAGAAAAAATTAAAAAGCACATAATAATTAAAAAGAAAAACACACAACCATCTTTATTCCCAGATAAAATAGTTGTGTATATAAGACATGTTTAAGGACTCAACAACAAAATATGTAGAAATACTATGCAAATGTCACAAAGTTGAGGGATACAAAATAAATATTCAAGATTTTATATTTCTGAAAATTGGCAACAAACAACTGGAAAATGTATTGCCATTTGCAATAGCACCAAAATACATAAATTGCATTGGATCAAATTTAATCCAAAATGTGCAAGTCTGATACACTAAAAATTATAAAACATTGCAGAGAGAAATTTTATTTTATTTTTTTAAGATTTTATTTATTTGAGAGAGAGAGAGCAAAAGAGAGCAGGAGCAGCTAGCAGCGAGGGTAGGGGTGGGGGACAGGGAGAGGGAGAAGCAGACTCCCCGCTGAGCAGGGAGCACAACATGGGGCTCGATCCCAGGACCCCAGGATCATGACCTGAGCTGAAGGCAGACGCTTAACCGACTGAGCCACCCAGGCACCCATGCAGAGAGAAATTTTAAAAGATCTATGTAAATGAAAGATAAGTCAGACTTATTGCTTGGAGGATTTATAATTGTTAAGGTGTCAATTCTCCTAAAACTTTTCTTAAGATGCATTGCTATCTGAATGGAATTCCAGTAGACATTTTACAGGACCTAATAAACTGATTCTAAAATATGTGTAGATATACAAAGGAGTTAGAAAAACAAGCATTTTGAGAAAGAACAAATTTGAGACATTGCATCACCTGATTTCAAGAAGTTCTATAAAAGTATCTTAAAATATATAATCTCAAGTTATCATAAATAGATAATAGGTCAATGAAACAAAATAATAATGCCAGATATAGACCCAGACGATTACAGTGAAATGCTTTTCAACAGACTCCAATGCAATCCAATGGGAAAAGAATCACTTTTTTAGCAAGTAATGTTGAAATTACTTACTGAATATCCATATGGAAAAATAAAACAAACACACAAACCAAAAAACCCCTGACCCCTATTTCATACCAAATACAAAAAATGAATTTGAGTTGATCATAGATGTAAAGATAAAGGCTAAAATGGTGATGTTTCTAGAAGTGAATATGCAAAGTAGTTTTATGACTTTGTGGTATGAAAATATTTGTTAGATAAGGAAAAAAACCACTAATCATTAAAAGATGATTTAGTGGATTTCACCAATATGGAAAAATACTTGCTTTGCAAAGAGCATGATAAATAAAATGAAAAGGCAAACTGCAGGTTAGAGTTGCTAAAATTAAGAAGATTAAAATTCCAAGTGTTGTCCATGGTGTGGAACAGCTAGATTGCTCTTACCTTGCTGGTCACACTAAAAAATGATGCACTTTGAAAAACAGGCGGCCTCTGTTTCATAATGTTAAACTATACCTATTTTATAACCCAGCAATTACAGAGAGAGAGAGAGAGAGAGATTCCCAAATATCTGAGAAAAGATTTACAAGAATGTTCTTAGCAACTTTATTTTCTAAGGCAAAGGCTGAAAACAATTCAAATGCCCCATGAGCAAGTAAAAGGATAAAATATATTTTGGTTTCTTCCTACAATGGAATATCACTCAGCACTAAAAAGGAACGATCTCTTGATTCGAAAATATGTGTGAATTTGAGACTTTTTACAAAGTGAAAGAAACTGCACAAAGTGTATATACTGCATGATTCTATTTATAAAAATTTAAAGAATAGACAAAATTAAACTATGGTGGCAGAAATAAGATAAGTGTTTACATTTGAGTGGGTGTTTCCCGAAGAGGGATACTCAGGGAATTTCTAGAGTGATGTACATAAATACTCTGTATCTTAATTTACAAATGTTTGCCCAAACTCAATCTGACCGTACACTTAAAATCTGTGTATTCTCTTACCTATAAATAATACCTTTAAAAAACCACACCTGGAGTCAGTGAGAGAGAATCAGTACTCTAAATGTGTTTCTAACTCTAACTGGCCCTGTTTGCTGTTTGTTTAGCTCAGGTGAGAGGACACCAAAGTGAAAATATATGCATTCTTTCTCCACACCACTTAGCCTCCTCCAGAAGTTAAATCAGGTCATTTCAGAGTTCTGTGCATTCTTTGTTCTTTCTTTCCTTTCTCTCTTTCTCACTCTCTCTCTCCTCTCTCTCTGTCTCTCTCTGTCTCTTTCTTTTTTGTACAAGGTTTCAGGTATCCCAGAACCAGTCTGCCTTCCCTGGCTCTCTGTACCCTAAAACCAGACGCCTGCGTTAGGAGGCTGCTGCGGGGACATTCCCTGGTAACAATTTCCTCCTTGTATCTTGACTCTATTCCACTTCTTTGGTCTCTGTTACTTGTAGACAGTATGCTCACTACTCTTAGGACTGGAGAGAAACATGTCTTGGGTAAGAAAAATCCTTTGTCCCTGCGCAGGAAGCCGTCCTGAAGCTTCCTCCAAAAGGCCTTTGCGACCCCACTAGATCAGAATTCCGATCCTAGCAACTCTCCAATAGAGGCAGGAGATGCATAGAGCTGAACTGTGTGTCTTTAGCTCCCGTAAGTGACCTGCAGTAGGACCAGCCTGACACGGGCAGCGCCCCTGGCTCGGGTCACTCCCGCTCCGGACTCACCTGGTGCTGAGGCCCAGCGCCGGCTGCGGGGGCAGCGGGAAGTGCGCGGGGCTTGCATGCGGTGCCCCGGCCGGGGTCCTCCTTCCCCCGCTGCCTCCGCTCTCCCCCCTCCTCCGGGTCCTGTCGCTCTGCGGTGCGAAACCGACGATGGACCCTCTTCAGCGGCCGACAGACAGAGACGGACTAACCGACCCACATCACTCTCAAAACCAGGAGCCGGGTGCCTGGAATCCGCTTCGCCAGTGATGTCACTGGCGGCCTAGGAGAGCCCTGCCCGGGATCGCTGGGCGCCGCTGCTCCCGAGGCCGGAGGCTGCGCTGTCTCTCGAGCTGTAGAGGGAGGGGATGCCCAGCGATGGCCCCGCGCGCTCGGGTCGCCGGGCAACACACCCAGTGAGGCCGATGGTTTGTTCCCGCTTCTCTAGAGGCTGAGGAGGGTCGGGCTGGGGGAGAAGAGAACTCCAATCTGTCGGGAGTGGAACCTGAGTACTTACTCCACAGGAGGTGACACCGAGTTCACTGGGAAGGACAATCAGAGGCTTAGAGTCACAGGCAGGTGTCCCTCACCTGATTGCACAGTGTTTGGAAGAACAGTGTTCTAAAGAGGGTGTTTAGAATATTGTTTTGATTAAAAAGGCATAGTAATCTGAGGCAGGCTCTAAAGGGGGAGAAGGATTTAGGGAGCAGGAGTGAACAACATCCAGAAATGTACACTAAGGCCAAATGGCACTTGCCAACTCCATACCTGGGCTCCTTTCCTTTGGTGAGACTCATCACATAGAAATAATAAAAAAAACTGAGGATTCTAGAGGGGAGAGGGGTGGGGGGATGGGTTAGCCTGGTGATGGGTATGAAAGAGGGCACATACTGCATGGAGCACTGGGTGTTATACTCAAACAATGAATCGTGGAACACTACATCAAAAACTAGTGGTGTAATGTATGGTGATTAACATAACATAATAAAATAAAATTTAAAAAAGAAATAATCAAATAAAAAATACATCAGTAATTAATGCAGAGTGGTGGGATTGTAGGACTGGGGTTACTATGCTTTTTATTTTTTATCTGTTCCAAATTTCCTATAAAAATGCAGCCCTCGACTTCTATTTTGAAAAAAATAAATTTCTTTTCTTTTTTTAAAAAATTTTCAAGTTGTCATTTGTTGGGGGCAAATGCATATCCTCTCCTAGTCAAAGCTTTATTTTGAAGAGAAGCAGTTTTGCTAACCCATTGTCTTCTTCTAATGAGATTTAAATTTAAAACATAAATACAGAGCAGACGTAATGTCTTTAATAGCCATTAAAATATATAAGTAGTTTTGCAAGCTGTGTACCTGCCTTTGGGTAACAGTAAAATTCACAACAGATATAATTAGGCATATGCAATTGGACTCACATGTGAATTGCCTATTATTTGGGAGGGAAACCAGAGCACACTTTGTTAACAGACTCTGGAGACTTCTACTTCCAGAAAAGATGGGGACTCTCATCTTCATTTACATTTACATTTAAAGTTACATTTAGATGTAATTTTCTCTATTCTTCTCACTAATTACAAATAAAAACTCTGGACGTCATATTTTTAAAAATCATATTAGATTCTTAAAGGCAGAGACTATAAGGGTTAGCAAGAGGGAGATCTTTGCCGTGATGAAATAGTTCTGCATCTGGATTTCATTTGTAGTTATACCAATCTCTCCATATGATTAAAATGAGATGGAGCTTGTATTAGTTTTCTTGTGGCTGTAGAAACAAATTCTCACCAACCGGGATGGCTTAAAACAACAGAAATTTATTCTTTTAAAATTCTGGAGGACAGAAGTCCCAGATCAGTACCACTGTGCTAAAAGCAAGGTTCTAGGGGGAAATCTCATTACTTGCCTCTTCCGGTTTCTGGTGGCTCGAAGCATTTCTTGGCTTCTGATCACATCTCTTTTGCTTTTCACCATTGCTGTCTCTTCTATGTTTGTCCGTAGTCACCCACAGCTTCTCTCTTCTACTGTGATTATCACTTAGGACCCAACTGGATAATCCAGGATGAATTCCTTCTTTCAAGATCCTTAACTTCATCGCATCTTCTGCGTTATTAGTTAATATTTAACTCTTTTGCAATCTAAAGTAATATTTTTAGATTCTTGGGATTAGGAATTGAATATGTCTTTGGGAGGCCATTTTTAAAAACTTACCGCAGAACTATGCACACACATTGTAGCAATGTCGAGTTCCTAATATTGATACTATACGATAATTATGTAAGACAAAGCCATTGCGAAAAATTGAGTGATGGGTACGAGGACCTCTCTGTAGTATCTTTCTAGGGGATGTGAAAATATAATTATTTCAAAATAAAAAAGTAAAAACAAAAGTAGGTGTCTATGATAAAAAAATACATCTTTTTAATGATAGCTTTTCTTAACGGCCATTTAGAAGGCAATCATTTGAAATGCATTCTCTACAAAGGCATATGACTAGTGTCTAGGATGAAGATGTGTATGAGAGGGAATAAAACCAAATGTGTACACTTTTGATTGTGTGGCACATTTATGTTGTTATCCTATGTGCTCGATGCAGAAGGCAAGCATTCCAGACATTTTTACCAATTTTCTCTTTTTCAGAAGAAATTATCACAAAAAGATCAAGTAATTTGCTCATGCTCCCTAAATTGCTAAAATAGTGCAAATGGCCTTCAACATTCACCTGCATTGCTTCGAAATTTGCACTTACTTGATATTCTTTTTTTTACTAGTGAAAGAAAAAATTTGCCCCCATCTGTGTTGGAATTACTTTCTACTAGACAATACAGCATAAACAACAATCCTTATAAGTCATATTAACCCAAGAAATATCAGAATGAACTTTTCTTAGATTCATTTGCACAAAATGAGTCCTGAGTATGTTACTGCATCAGATGTCCTTAAATAACTCTGAAATTATTTAGCCTGTTATCTATTTCCAGCAAGAAAAATAAAATTCATCTAATTTAGAAGACCATAGGAAAGCACATCTTGGAAGATGAGCCTAAGTGAGGTTTTAAAATTTCTGCAATTCTAGATGTTCCTGAATTCTGATGCCACTTTGCCTCTCTTCTTGGGGACTTACAAGGCCATAACTTGTCATCATCTAATGTAATAAGTCACCAGTCACAGGGATACTCAAATCTTTTTTTTTTTTTTAAAGATTTTATTTATTTATTTGACAGAGAAAGACACAGCGAGAGAGGGAACACAAACGGGGAGTGGGAGAGGGAGAAGCAGACTCCCTGCTCTGCAGGGAGCCCGATGCGGGACTCGATCCCGGGACTCCAGGATCATGACCTGAGCCGAAGGCAGTCGCTTAACCAACTGAGCCACCCAGGCACCCGGGATACTCAAATCTATAAGTGACTTTTTAGCATCAGAGGATTGGTACATAAGTTTTAAACATCCACCTGTTACTCAAATACTCAGCAGATAGCTTCCATACTATACTGAGTCCAACACAGATGAACAATAGCTCTTTGTAGAACCTGCACATTAGTCTGTGACAGAAAGCAGAATATGTCACCCTAAAATATGCCATTTTGACATATTAATGATTCTGAATCAAAGTTACTTAAGAAATTACCAGTGCATAAAAGATACTCTGACCCTCCTTTTCCCCCCCTGAAATCAGGAAATGAAGTCTCTTTAAGCCAGAGTTAGCAAATTCAGGACCAAACAGGCTGTATAAACACACCTTGTCACTTCTTCACTAATTTGCTACCCCAAGCCCAAACCCCTTTGCTTTGCCAATTTTTCACAAATGTATTGTTTCCTTGTCTAAAAGGTATTAAAACCATCTGCTTTGGTCACTTCTGGGAGTCTCATATCTTTGGGACTCCTGTAGGTACAAAATTAAATTTGCTTTTCTCCTGTTAATCTGTCTTGTACCAATTTAATTATTAGGCCAGCAAAGAATCTAGAAGGGAAGAAGGAAAGTTTTCTGTCCCTACACCTATGTAAGTGATTTCAGGAGAATCTAAAAAAATTACAGAGAGCCCACTCTCCATAATCTAATAGGATGGGGAGACAATTACATCAATCAGGGTTTCACTGTAAATAATTCCATCTGGGGAGTACGATTTAATTTGGGGAATGTCTGAATACATAATCAGGTTTGGCCCTGGTTTTGTTACACCTATTCTTTTAAAGCTTTTTTTTTTTTTTAATTTTTATTTTTTATTTATTTATTTGAGAGAGAGAGAGAGAGAGAAACAGCATGAGAGGGGATAGGGGTCAGAGGGAGAAGCAGGGAGAAGCCCGATGTGGGACTTGATCCCGGGACTCCGGGATCATGACCTGAGCCGAAGGCAGTCGCTTAACCAACTGAGCCACCCAGGCACCCCTACACCTATTCTTTTAATTTATCTCTTCTCTTCAAGTGAATTATTCATTCTCTTAATAAATGCTTATTAAAACATGCTATGTATTACACACTTTATAACATAAGTTATAACTTACTTAGCCTGTAGAATTTAACCAGTTGTGTTATTTGCTAAATTCTACTGAATTGGAGATCTATAATTAATTTTCAAGGGCTAATTATACTCCTTTACAAGGAGCAGTAACTTCTATATTATTCTTTTCATGTATAGGATAGTATTTAATGACTATGTGGACTGGAGAAGAGATGGAGAAGTTACCTAAGTTTCCAGAGGTCATACAGCTAAAAGGTAACAAAGCCTGACTTTAACCCAGATCAACACCTTTTTGGTTTTCACTTTTGCATTTTTAAGCCTAAAGACATATGTATTAATTGTCTACAATTTGACTTGTTTGACAATTTAAATTGTTTGACTTCAATCTAAGTCCAGTCTTATTTTTGTTTTTCTATATATCACACCATCTAGTAAATTGCCTCTCTCAACTTACACTACTCACTGTATATGTATATATAAATACACACACACACATATATACATATATACACATATACACATATATGTACATACAAATATATATACATACATATATATATTAATATAAGCATATAAACCAAATACATAGTTTAAATACCTAAACTTATTTCTTTAAGGATCTTAATTAATGTTGACCAACTGTTGTAAGTGCCTTGTATTAGAGTTATAATACCTGCTACTAGTGCGAAAGCTACACAATAAAGACATTATCTAAGCTTATCTTAAGCTCTTCTGATTTAAAATTTTTGCAATGAAAAAATAAAATAAAATAATAAAATAGAACTTTTGTAGTGAAATATGTTGATATGGCACTTCACCAGCTTCCCCATCTTTAAAACGGCCTATTTTCAGGTTTTACTGAAGACGCTATCCTGTGTTTTGTTTTGTTTTAATTTACTCACTTAGAAAACCTGCAGTATTAGGACAGCATTAAAGAAGGCA